TTGGCGAAAAACTAGAATGCCAAGTGTCACTGTTCGGTGGCCTGGCTGCGACACCGACTTTATTTATTAGTGACTAGTTTTGTACCCCGTGCGATGCCGGGTTGTTTAGTTAATTTTAAAATAAAACTTTTTATCAAAAATATATATGTTATTTGAATTTTCTACTCATGAATTAATATTCACTTGACAATCATACTTGTCCGTTTATGGGTATTTTATGGATTAATAATCACTTGACAATCTAAAAAAATTAGAAGTAATAATGTACAACCTAAAAGAACGGTTATCTAAAGCTGTGATCTCATTTCATTTTCTCTGACCACCTAAGGAAAGGTTGATTGCATGTTAAGACTTAAGAGAACAGTTACATATAATAATAGGTCTCTTTGAATTTTTATTTTTTCCTTTTGTACCTCTCTGGATTTGTCATTTGTATAGAAATATTGGTATTTCATTGAAAATAAAATTCTAAACCAAAAGTTTTATTAAAAATAAAACCCTAAAATAACTTTTTTATCCTACTACATCTATCCAAATTTTATTGAAAATAACACTATAATAACTATTTTATTCTACTGAATCTATCCAACTTTTTTATCTTATTCTACAAAATATACATTCAAATAAATTCTATGTGTCATATTGATAATTAATTGTCGCCTACGTGGCGCAACACTTGGCGAAAAGTCGGAATACCAAGTGTTGCTGTCTCGTGACCTGGCTAAAAATTTAACTTTAAATATTAGTTATATGATTTTATCAACAATCTGGACATCGCCCGACACAAAACTAGTTATAACTTTTAATAAATATCTTATAACTCGATTCTATTTCCATCATAAAATTCGTTTAAAAGTTCAATAAAAAAGGTTTTGTGCCCAGGCGATGCCTAGATATTAAGACAACATTTTTACTTGAATGTTAAATACGGTCAAATAATTCGTTCCGATAATGTAGGTTATTTATACGATTTCATATGGCTTATATTTATATAATAGTGTATTTTTTGTAATTTTGTTTGTAAATAGATATCTATGTTATTATTGACTTGAAATTATTTTTATTGAACTTAAATAATTTTCACTGAGCTGAAAGTATTTTTACCAAACTAAAATTATTTTTACTGATTAAAACTTATTTTTATTGATTCTCTGATTTTTTTTTCTTAAAATAAATTAAATAACAATGCATTTTGTTTATGGCTAGCCACACCATCTGGCCGGACAAAGTAACCCCTATAAAACTGACCGATTAACCCCTGTAATACTAACTTAGTAACCTCTAACACTGACTAAGTAACCCCTATTTATAACACTGATTGAGTAACCACTATAACACTGACCAAGTAATCCCTATAGCACTAACGAAATAAATCTTGTAATAGTTTGTGACACGGTTTGGCCAGCTACGTATAAAAGTTTGTGATTAAATATATTATAAATGGATCTTATTTTAAAGGACTTTTCAAAACAAATTTGATGATGGAAATAGAATTGAGTTATAGGATATTTATTAAAAGTTATGATTAATTTTGTATATATGAATTATTAGAATTCTATCGATAATAAAACTCTATACAACAATTTTATCTTAAAAAATCTATTCAAAAATCGCTTGCTTTGTATCATATGTGTCACAATAATACCTATTTGTCTCCTATGTGACGCGACACTTGGCAAAAAACTGGAATGCAAAGTGTCGCTGTCTCGTAGCCTGACTGCGAGACCGACTTTATTTATTAGTGATATGATATATATTAGATTCAATGTCTATTAACATTGATATTTTGGGCATTAATTGTTTTTTTTTTTTTTTTTTTTTTTGAAAAATTAAGGCTAGTAATTTTGATAGATTGACAAATTAATGGAAGGATATCAAATTTAACATTATAGGCATCAATTAAATGCCAATAATTTATAATGAATATTAAACTCTTAATAATATTATAATGTAATGTCATTATCTAATTGTTCTTTAATTGTAAAGTTTACAAAATTTAATGTAATGTACTGATTTTTTTCCTTATTTATTTTTCTTAAACGATTAATTATGAGATTATTAAATTTCCAAAATGCCTAATGCGGATCTTAACCCCTTGTTTATTCAAGTGTTTAGAGAAACAACAATCTTGAAATAAAGATCCAACTTTGAAGAGTTTCTTGAAGATTGAACACAATCGAACTGATATTTCAATCTCCTTTCAAATCCACTCTTGAACTTATGATTTAAATCCTCAATCTAATTAACTCACTCTTGGACACTAATTATTTTGAGATTAAACTCTTAACCTACTCTCTTGGAAACTAAGTGATTAATGTTCCTAAACTTAAACCACTATTGGAATTACGATTAAGCAAAAACACAAGGAAACTCACATAAAGATAAGGCATATATTTTTCTTGATCTTTAAGGTTGTTTCTTCCCTTGTATAAAAACGTTAGTGTGAATGATATGTGCAAATGTACAAAAATGCATGGTGCGCCGTACGTCTAGAATATCAAAATGTATGTTGGACATTTAAACATTTTGGCCACCAACTATCGTTAATTATAATAATTATTAAGAGCATATTCGCCAATAGATAAGCCGTATTTTTATTGAAGTTGACAAAGCAAATTTAGTATTTTAAAGTTGATTAATGATTGATTAACGTGGCGTGTATATTAGTTTACAAAGTTTTAAATTGCTTGGTGCTTTTTCCATTGTATTCCATGTATATGCTTCGATTCTTCCTTTCCTTATTGGGAAACCCAAATATTTTAGTATATCTATAATTTTATACTTTTTTTTTTATTATTATTATTAACGAATTATTAAAGTAACTATGGTAATGCAAATTAACTCCGTAATTAATTTGCATAGTTATTGTTCGCTTGGTTTGTTTTCAAATTGCACATCTGCACGCTTAAGGTTTAAAGAATTAGTTTAACATGGAATAATGTACAATTCCATTAGATTTACAGCATAAAGTAAAATGAATAACAACTTTTCTATAAATGCAAGCATATCCGATTATCTAGAGTTTCCACTCTTACTAATTAGGATTCAAGCCGGATTGAGTCCCAATTTGGGGGGAAGTTCTCCCAAAATTTTGATACTTTGTCAAGTCTTAACAACTCCTTCACCAGCTAATTAATCTAAACACTAAATATTAGACGGATTAGTTTTGAAGAGAAAAATATAAGGAGTACTAATTTTAAAGAGAAAGATATACAATACCAAGGCTTTGTTTAATTCACCTTATATTTACTTATTTCAGAAAAAATAAATTTAGATTAGATCAGAAAAAATAAATTCAAACCAGATCATCGTTTTATGTGCAATTTTTTATCGATAAATATCTTTAATTTCATAGTGAAAAAAATTATGAAAATTACATATTATGATATTAATAAATACACATTATTATGAATTTAAGAACACCCCAATTGATATATTTTTTCTTTATAGATTATCGTATATATAAGATCAAACTTTGGTCAAATAAGACATCAGTTCAAATCAGACCAGATTAAATAAACAAAAATAAGGTGAACTAAGCATTTTTTTTAATCTACATTTAGCAAAAATTTTCATATTTGATAATACTAACTACTTCCTTTGTATTTTTTTAATTGCACCATTTGTCATTTCACGCTTGCCGATGCAATACTTTGGCCATTAATAGCTTTGATTATAGTTAAGTAAAAATTATAAAAATTTGATATTTGATAAGTAGACGTCGAGACGAATCTAATAAGATATTACATAACTATAGTTTTTCTTACGGATAAATCACAAAAGTTGGTCAAAGGATATTATATGAATAGTGTAAAATCCAAAATGATGCAATTAAAAAAATACGGAGGAAGTATTAATTACTGTGATATTGTCTTCATACTGGTTTTTTGTATCACATACTTAAGTCTCTAATTTACATCTTCAATCATTCATAAATTTAACTCTACATTAGCAAAAATTGTGAACGATGTATCTAATTTAAAATAAACACTGAAATTTAACTCTACATCATTAAGATTTGAGAAATTAACTTATGGAGTGCCCTATTTAAGTCTTCTAATCTCTAGCATGCCGTTTTGCTGTTTCACCCTCATAAACCCAATCCTCTCACAAAGAGTTGCAACATTTTTTTTCAAGGGAAAGATATCACGGACATTTAATTATTGCAAACAATCTCCGCCAAAGCCATAAGAGATTGAGAAAAATAACCAACACAAATAAAATCTGAACTATCATTAGTATCCCACCTAGTAATCAATTGTGCAAAGGTATCACATGCACTTTCAACATTTAAACAATCTAAACTTGTCTTCATAAATCAATCTGATTCAATTTGATATCCATGCGCCTCAAACTACAGCAACATCATCTCCGCAGTTTTAGTCCTCTATGGTCATCAGGGTATTAAACTACAATGATATCCATGCGCCTCAAACTACAGCAACATCATCTCCGCAGTTTTAGTCCTCTATGGTCATCAGGGTATTAAACTACAATGATATATCCATGCGCCTCAAACTACAGCAACATCATCTCCGCAGTTATAGTCCTCTATGGTCATCAGGGTATTAAACTACCACCATGCCTTGTAGGTTCAAGCTAAAGTTACTGTTAAGTAAAATCACAGCGGATCTATAGTGATCTTGCTCCTTTTGGACATCCTCTTCGTAAAATTAAATTTAATAAAATATAATAATACTCCATGACACATTTTTACATATAACTTGCTCCTCGAATATTTTTTGCTAATCGACGGTTACCCATCATAATATACTTTCATCCTTTTGAAAAGCAGCTAATGAGAAGTAAATTTCTTATGCCCTATAATACAAAACACAAAAACCCATATTGGCCATATCTAACATAAAATAGTTGCAGCTCATAAATTTCACTTTCTTGACTTGTCACAATCTCAAGCAGAATGCATATGAAAGAACAAATCACAAGAGAAATCAACGCTGAGAAGGGCGGAAGCCTACTTCCTACATACTTAACATACTTTAATCACGCATGCTATTGCTATCACTCTCAACAGACTGGGTTGTGCACCAACTTGCAACCCAGTCTGTCAAATCCGCAACATTTTTTTCGATGTCATCAATGGAGTCACTCTTCATTGCAACCACTACATCTTCTTGGTAACTATCTTTAGCCTCCTCAAGCAACGTTTGAAAGATTTCACATTCAATATTGTTTGTAAGCTTTGACCCCGTATAGCCTCTGCAGCAAGATTACCATTAGATACAAGCAGCCAGATGCCATATATGATGGAAAGGTACTTGTTATAAATGGTAATGCCTTACCAATACCCAGATACAAGAAAACAGAAGAAATATGAAGAAACGAAGGACCAATACAATCTAGTCAATGGCATACCTCTTGCTGAGGCGATCATACAAGATAGAATTTTCAGTTTGAAGCACCACAACACGATCAAACCAACGCTCAGGAAAAAATTCACAACCATGGTAATCGACAATTACCCCGCCCTCTTCCATCATATCTTCAAGCTCGTCACATACCTGTCAAAGCCATATGAAACCTGAATGTGAGATCATAACTTATCCTTACCTGGCAAAAACCAACCAGAAGAAACTGGCCTGTCCACCTAATACTTTGACCCAACCAGCACCCTATAAAAGGCTATAATACATCGAAACATACCTCATCTATACTAATTTATTTTAAGTCAATAAACTATTTTCACAACATCTGACCTAAAATCTGACTATATTAAGTTCGTAACAAAGTGAATTTAACACATTGTTTCCATTACCTTATATTTCACTACACAATTAAATAAATACTAGGAACTAATAAAAAAATGATTGATACATACAGAGTACTATATATCCTCTTTATAAAAACAAACATTCATTTTAGCAAATGTTAATCTTACTGAGAAATGGATGAAGTAATACAAAACTATTACATCCCCTCTCACTACTTTTGCCCTCTCCGAGGTGCACTAAGTTGTTAACTAGTTCATAACTATCTTCTTAATCCACATATCATGAGCCATCCTTCAACTGAGAGGCTATACTACAAAATTTATAGTAAGTATATAACTAGGGCTAATCATCCAAACTCCCTCACTCCCATGATCATTACAATTACAAATAGGAAACATCATAGAACTAATTTGATGCAATTTAACCAAGGTGGCAAAATACTACACCGTATTTAAATATCTACCAACTCAACTTTGTTCCAGTTAACTATAAGAGAAAAGTCAAACTTCCCAGAAACAGAGTTTTGGCAGAAGCCACTGATTAGATGAATAAGTCCAGATAGTAATTTTCACCTAATATATAAAGCTGTTCCAACAATTTTTGATAAATTCACTCCTTATGGATGCTATGGTCTTTAATCTCTATCACCATGACCAGATTATATTTGTCACTGCCCAAAAACTGACGATGGATAACAAAAGCAACTCTATGCAAGAAGCAATTCAAATAAATGCTAGATAATGGAATCACAGCTACACTTATCGTTTAAATTAAAAAATATATATAATATTGAAGCACATTAGCCCATAAGTACTTGAATATGTATAATAACAATGAAAGACGAGCAGAGGGGAATCAATGCTTCTTTACAAATAAATGCTTAGGATGAATGGCATACCAGATCCTCATTGATGACATGACATTCAAATTCCTCATCCCAACCATCGTGCAAGTTCTTCTCCTTGACCAAGTCTCCAATGTTCACATGGCGAAGCTGAGTTGCCTCTGCAAGAGCAGAAGACATAGTTGTTTTTCCTGTCCCAGGAGTACCAGTTATCAATAAGTTTGGCTTCCCTCTCACCATTGTTAGTACTCGCACTATTTCCCAACTTTTACCTGGATATCAAGGTGTGACTATTAGATACAAAACCATTACTAGGATAATATAATAATAGTGATATTTTGGAGTTGAATTTTAAATTGAAGCAAACACGAATCGTATAGTGCCATAAATTTCTTCTTTAGACTTTGAAAGATCACAGCGAAGAAGAAATGATACGAGGAAGGTCATTCATAGCCCCATCACTTTTTCAGACTCTAGCTTTCCAACAAAGAAGAAGCAAATGAAAGGGTAGTGAAAAAACAAACTCATAAAACCACACTACCCTTGTTTTACTACTTTTACACAATTAATAAGAATATTGATTGATTACCATATTGCATCGCCTAATCTACAACAGAAATTCAATTCAAACAGAGTATTGTACATTTCTAAAATTTTAAACAGATATTCCAGAAAAGTAAAATCTAACACCCTTATTTGTCTCACTACTTTCGTGCTGAATCTCATTGAAGAGGCATGGATTGAACTATGACTTATGTTGCTTCTACTCTTCAATAATATAAATCAATCATTATAATCATTTATAAATTCAGTAAGTAGTTAAATAATCCACCTTTGAAGAACCCTAAATTGACTATTAACAATTAACACTAGATTGTGTGAAATTGATAATCGATGATTAAGTAAAAGAAAAAAGTATATATATTACCTTAGAAACTGCTTCAACAGAGGAGAGAAAACTCGCCGCCGCTTCAATGGAGGATTCAGAATACGGTTTAATGGGAGAAAGAGAGAGAGGGAAGGGGGTGGAGTCCTAAACGCGAAAAAGTTCCAAAGTAGGAAAATAAACGGTCCAAACTCATTACTCCGTATCACATTTTTTGAGAAACATTACTCCGTATCTCTTTAAGTTTTACTCAGGCGGCTAATTAGTTTTTTAATTTTGTTGGATTGACATTATTTTTAGGTAAAAATAGATAACCCCACAATAACACCACAAAGTCTCAAACTTTTATTATAACACTACAAAAATAAATTTAAATTGAATTTCACCGCCATCTAACGAATATTTGGATGGAATCCGTTAGTGGGACTCACTGTGGACACGTGTCACTCAGCGATTTGTTTAAAAAAAAGATAAATAAAAATAAATTAAATAAAAACCCTAAATCTTAACCCAACCCAGCCCCACCACCGGAACCACCTGCCCAAGCCGCCAATAGCTGAAACTCAACCGCCGGAACCCCATGACCCAACCGTCGGAACCCCCTGACCTCCTGCCGGAACTCACTGACCTCCTACGCGGAACCCCCTCAACCACCTCAAACACTGCCCCCACCGTAACGAATCCAGCACCCAGACGGCGACCCACAAAACTCCCCAACCCCCTGAACCACCTCAAACACTGCCCCCACCGTAACGAATCCAGCACCCAGACGGCGACCCACAAAACTCCCCCTTTCTGACGAAGACCCCCACCCTAGTCTGCGACCCCATCCCTTGCTAGCGGCGAACCCACCACAGCCCTTGCACAGAAATCGAAACACAACCAAATCGGGGCTAGGGCATGGGTGTTTCAACGTTTTTCAGTGGCTAGAGTGTTTCAAGAATGGGTTAGGTGGGTTTTTCGGTTGTTGGGGTGTTTCAAGATCAGCTCAGGTGGGTTTTTTTGGTGGCTGGGGGTACCGACGATGGGGATGGGGTGGGGAGAGGGGTTGCCGGCGGCAGTTGCATGTTGCCAATGGTGGGGCTGGGTTAGGGTTTAGGGTGTTTTTTTTAACAAAAAAATAAAAATTTTTTTTTTTTTTAAAACCAATCAATGAATGACACGTGTATTTGGTGGGTCCCATTTACGGATTTCATCCAAAAATCCGTTAGATGGTGGTGAAATCCAAATTTTGGTTTTTTTTTTTTTTTTTTTGTTATAATAAAAGTTTGAGATTTTGTGGTGTGATAATCCAATTTTTTAGAAATATATGGTGTTATTTTCTAAATTCTCCTTATTTTTAACACAATTTTTTATATATGGTTGGCCATATCGTATGGCGGGGTTACTTATTTAGGGGTTATTCGATCAAGGGTTACTTGGTCAGTCGGAGGTACTTGGTTAGGGGTTACTCGGTCAGTAGGGACTCAAGAGTTACTCTCACTCAGAAAACGCACTAACCGAATAAGTAACCCCAAAGTAAGTAGCCCTTGACCCACTAAGTAACACCTAAAAAGTAACCCCGGCGAAAACATGCTAACTGACTGAGTAACCCTAGAATCAGTAAACCCTAATTGATCGACTAAGTAACCCCTAGATAAATAACCCTTGAATAAGTAACCCCGACCACACGGTGAGGCCAGTCACACAGAAAAAGCATCGTATTTTTAATGAATTTTATTAATGCCTTGTTCAATTCCCCTTAAAAAAAGTAAAACTCGTATTCAATAAAAAATAAATTCAATTCAATAAGTTTTAGTTCAGTGGTATAAAATTAGGTTCAATTAAGTAAATTAGGTTCAGTTAAGTAAAACTTGTTTCAATTTTATAGATTTAATTTTTAATTAGTAAAAACAATAAACTTAAATAACAGATATAATAAGGAAGCTGTAAAAATAAATTTTAATTAGTTAAAATAAATCAATACAATAAAAAATAGTGAACTGAATTTATTTTTGCTAAATAGAACTGAACTTATTTTTCTATTTATAATTTTTTAAAAGTGAAGAGAAAAGAGACTTATTTTATAGAACATAAATTATTTTTAAAATATTATTTTTGTAAAGTCAGGGGGACAAATGGAAATCGCATAATTTGACAAAATTGTTGAAAAAAAAAATTGACACATAGATAGTTAAATAATTGTCCAAAATACTTTGGTCATATAATCCAAAAAAAAAAAAAAATACATAAATCAAAAGCACTTTTGTTCGAGGGAAGTTATAGGTTTTTGGTTGGAAAGATTTTTTGAGAACATAAGCTCTCTTCACCGCATTGCTTTGGTTTGGGGGTTTAGGGTTTAGCACATAGTCAACACCATTTTACCAAACACCCATACTTTGAGATTTAACAGTTACAACTAACATTTACCTTTACAACTATATTCTGCTGATTATGACATAATTATTGGTCAGTGCTAGGAGGACAAGTGAACATTGCAGAATTTGACAAAAATGTCGGAAAAAAAAAAAAAAAAAACTTGACACATAGATAGTTAAATAATTATCCAAAATACTCTGGTCATATAATCCAAAAAAAAAAAAATACATAAATAAAAGCACTTTTGTTTGAGGGAAGTTATAGGTTTTTGGTTGGAAAGATTTTTTTAAGAACATAAGCTCTCCTCATTGCATTTCTTTGATTTGGGGGATAATCCATAGTGTTCATTATTTCTCTCGGATCTTGAGGAAGAAGTTCAACATCATATATCAATTCTTCCTCTTCCCGTACGTGTTGCATTACTAGTACTTGAACTACTTATTTCCATATCATTTTGTTGAGTTAAGAAGATCATAACCTAGGAATTTCATTCATTTAGACGTGAGATATCGAAGATTACATTGCTCGGTTAGTTTTTTCATTACCTTGGACTAGTTTGAATTAGGCGAACCCTTATTGAAAATTTTGAATCAATAATTCAATTATCATATCATACAATCAATATTATCAAACAACTTAGCTTAGCACAATAAACAAGTTAACAATCAAACAACATTAACATTCTAACAAAATAACAATTTTCTATAATTCTATCTAAAACAAGTGTGGGGAAATAAAATTAACAAAACAACTCAAGTGATCCAAATTACACATACTGTATAAATTATTATCATTCAAACAATTAGAAATTGGGATTTAAACAATCTATACTATATACTAAAATAATCACCAAATATGACACTCGACATCATTTTTTAAAAAATTTTCCCTCCAAAATGCTATTTATTATTTTTTTTCTATTACTAAAAAAAAAACCTTAAATTCTAGTAATAAATTTTTTATACTATATATGTAACACATAAGAATTTATAAGATAGACATTAACTAAATTCATTTTTTTTTATAAAAGTGTTACATAAGTCATTTAAATTCAATTAACTCCATTTCAATTGATATCATCATTAATAAATCTTATTATTATGAATCCGTGCCAAAACTAGTTAAACTTAAAGATGAAAAATCTAATTTTTGAGATATTTTTTTATTAAAATTAAAAAACTATTTTTTTTGTTATCCCCCTCTCCCTCTGCCAGTGTTGTTGGTAACCTAATTTTTAATTTTGAATTAAGTACCGTATGAATAATTATATTTTCTAAACTTCAAATTAGAAAATAATTAGAAATTAGGACATTGCTAAAGCCAGTATACAATGATTCCGAACAACGCTCAAGCCAATTACTAGTTTTTACTTTGTACCTTTTTTTGGTGATAAAGAGAAGACGCCCTTTCGAATCGGAGTATCTCGCATAGCCACATGTTAAAACCGCCAGTGTTTATAGACAAGACCCCTTAAAAGTGGGAGAAGAGTAAAGTTGCCTTTAATAGAATTAGATCCCACAATTTTTTTTTTTCTCCGTAATTCAAGTGAGATACAATTCATACGAATCATACAATCTTTACCACTAGACTAATTTCTAGTCGATTCGAGCTAGTAACTACTTGAGTAGTTGGTCTAGTTCATTCGTGTACGTATTTCTAAGCCACTAGAAACTGGAAATGCATAAACTCCAGAAAATTAATCCTCGCACAACTCTTCATTTTCCATTTGTGCAGTGTATCAGATGAACAGCATAACTCCCTCTTCTTGCAACACTTTGTTGTTTAAATCCTCAACAAATCCCCTTTTTCCGCCATTAAAACCCATGTTCCTTTTCCCGCCAAAACCACCACTTTCCCTCTCCTCCTTCGTCTTCCTCCCCAAACTCCCATCTCCCAAATTTCACCCCAGAATTCTTGCCGGGTACCCCAGAAATTTTCTGGGTATTGTTTCTTGTTGCCAAAACCCACAGAATTCGGGTTGCCCGGCTTCTGATGACGAGTCCCAATTGGAGTTGGATCGGTTGGTGTCGCTGCTGCCGGAGGAGATGCGGTGTCGATTACGGCAGCACCCGGAGTTAGATAAGTTGATGGAAGTGGTAATGGATTTGGGTCGGAACCCAATAGCCCGGTTTCCTTCAGGCGATTTTGAGTTGTCGGATTGTCCTATTACATTTCAGGACCTTGAGTTTGCTACTTCTCAGGTATTGTTTATTATAGAGGTTTTCTGAAGATATTAGCTTTATCCTTAAATTAATTTAAAAACTTTGGAATTATTTCTGGGAAAATACTTTTATCTTGGCAATGGTTATTTCCTTGTTATATCATGAATTAGGGAGTTGGCAAAATAATATGATACAAACACTACATGATATTTGATAAATTTTTGTTTTGGATATGTAATGGCGGATGTTTAACTGTAATTAACTGAGTAGCGTTAGTGAAATTGTGAAGGTTAACTGAAATTGTTAAAATTAACTTATCCGTTGTTTGATTGATTTAGGCTTTGTTCTCTTTACCTGAAATAATTTGAGGTTAGTTTGGCTTAATTTATTTGTGCTTATATATACAGGAGTACGTAGTAAGAGAAATATTATTAGGTGGTGTCTTGTTGGATTCGGCTCAATTTGATTTTTCAAAATTCCTATATTTCATACGAGTACATTTTTGATGTTGTTAATATTCGTCTGGTTTGGTTTGAGTCTTTCTGGTTTGTACTGATTTTACTGATTAATTTACTTGCATTTTTTTGTAGAATATTGTATTTCTTCCTCTTCCCATTACGAGTCTTTTGATCAAAGTAACCAATTATAAATATTGTGAGTTGCCGGTGACAGATATTTGGAGAAATAGTTCAATGATAGAGTAGTTCTCCTTGCTTGTATATGGCCAAAGATTTATGAGGCATTTGAAATGTCTGGTGTATGCAGCTGCATTGGCATGATTAGCCGGAGAACTGGTCTTTATTCTTTCCATGGGTGACCACAACAGTTAGGTGTTAGGGACTTAGGGCTGTAAGATAGATATTTTTGTATTTTCATGCTGACGTTTCTAGTATGACATACCATGACAATACTCAATACCTGAAATTTGTCTTTGTCTTAGGTCGGTGATTTTGCAGTTGACAACCGAGCAGGAATCAGCCGCACTTTACATCGGATCAGTGCTGTCAGGAACAGGAAAAATGCAATTATTGGCCTGACCTGTCGTGTAGGCAGGGCTATAACTGGAAGTGCTGATTTGTTGAGAGACTTGGTGAAAGATGGAGCTTCATTGTTACTCATTGGGCCTCCAGGAGTTGGGAAAACTACCATTATTAGGTCAGAGCATCTCAATTGTCTTGCAATATAACAATAAAATGAAACAAACTCTTCTGTGCGAAGTATCACTTTAGAAGTTTAAATCCATGCATAGTTGCTCTATGCAACTGTGTTGATGTTGCATGTATGGAATGTCTATCAGCTGTATACTTTTTTTTTTTTTTTTAATTATGGATCAATTTCGGGGTGTGTAGCTCTTTTTGATTTGAATCGAATGCTTCACTCTGTCCTCTAGGAGCTTATGTAGGTTTCTTAAAAGCCATTGACTTTTTGTCCTGATGTTCTAGTGTCCATAAAAGTGAGCCTTGACCTATCTTTTATCCTTTATTTTTCTTCATTGTTTATTTGGATAGAAGCCCAAGGTAATTCTGTAATAAAGAACCGTCCTGATTTATCTTATGATAGAAGCATGGATGACAAATTATTATATGTTGTTGCTTCACTTTATAAAGATTGATTGACGGGACTAACAGCAATGGCGTAGACCTAGACCTAGAGCATACTCTGCGAGGACTGCGACCACTGCCCCCATTTCCTACCCAATTGCCACTGCTTAAATTTATGGGTTTTATTTATGGTCTTCATTATAAAGATATAATTTTAAATATTTGACTTTTAGTTTTAGGGGTTTTAAGAAAGGGAAAAACAATCAACCACCTTGATTTCCTTATTTGTTGTTTGTTAGAACTTTTCAATCATTAATTATATTCCCAGGTTTCTTCCACTTTTGTCTACCATAATTCACCACCCCATTAGGAAATCATCCTAACCCTCAAATTTCTCTTAATCCAACTAACATTAACAATCACTTTGACCATACAATCATACAGGTGCCGCCACATTTTACCCCCCAAAACCACCCACCTACGCACCCACCATCAAAAACCATCCCAACCCCCCTTGGAAACCACACCAACTGCCCTCAAAATTACCTTAACCATCATCAAAACAACCCACCCCCAACCTAAAATCTATTTACCCACCACCGAAAACAATTTGTCCACCATCACCCACCCACACAAATTTACATCTGGAAAAATTTGGAAGATGGTGATGCTCTCCATGTTATTGCACTAGAGAATGTGGTGTTGACCTTTCTTATGCCAAAATGTGTGAGATGGTGCTGTTGGTAGTGGTGGTTGTAGAGTGGGAGATAATTATGTGAAAGAGAGGACTTTTTTATTTTTTTTTTTATTTTTCCCCCCTTTCTCTATTTACAATCAGCATGAAAAACTTTCAGTGTTTTTTCGTTCCTTTCTCCCTAAGTCCCTTTCTTAATTTTATTTCCTTAATCTTATGCAAACCAAATGCCCCCTTATTATTCTTTGTTGTAACCTGTCTTAGCATGGATAATATGATTTTTGGACTCTTCTTGTCTAACATAGTTGAATGGCATGAGACATATTTGTAGCTTTTTTATGCTTTAGCTGAGATGATTGTGTTCATTGCATTTGCAAATGATAATTATGTGGTGGAGCCCTCTAGTAGAGTTTTTGAAGATAAGTTGTGGTTGAGTTATCTATTATTGTTGTTGTTTTCCAAATCATAAATTTGCGAATAGGAGCACAATGTGAAGTAAGTGATAGATATGGGAACAAGAATAGAGAGCGGATGCACTGTTGCCAAGATTCTTTTCAAGACCCACTTCACCCATTACCCACCCGAAAACGGAACAAGGGAAGGAACAAAGGATGCCTTTGTGTAAATATGCTACCAGGACATGCCATGCTGCCAAAACATGACCCAAGGGACAACCCTTGTGTTGGTTGTGGGGGGCTTTTCCAGGGCACTTCTTATTCAAGCAATGTCAAAATTTTTCGATGCCATTTTATGGAATTATATGCGGATTTTGAATCATGACAATGTGCAGTTTTCGATATTGAAGTATAATGTTTTTTTACAATGATAATAAATTGTGAATTTTGATAATAATCTTTAACTAATAATCAAAGAATGTACAATGATACAATCTCTTGGGTTAGTTGTGAGAAAAAATCAGGGAAGTGAAGCCTTTTGGCATTAAGCATGCTTTTCAATCTCTTGGGTCTTGTGGCTGGAGATGAGTGGTAGGATATTTTAGGGTAGACATTTTGGTGAGCCATCTTTTTGCTTGGATGTGTAATTTTGATGTTGCTTTGTGGAGGCCTTTCTTTTAAGCTATGTTACTTGAACTCGGGTACCATGTCCGACATGTGTACGTGGCCAAGTGTCCGACATGGGTACGTGTCCAAGTGTCCAACTATGCTATTTTATAAAAAATTCCATGATTTTGAACTAAAATGAAATGTTTAAGTGTCTTACCCACGTCCGAGTGTCCATGTTTGACATGAGTACTCGAGGTGAGATGAAGAGCCCGAGTAACATAGCTTTTAAGGATAATTTTGAATGAGGCACAATGTAATTGACAATTACTTGTATTTATTTTAGGAGCCTTAGGACTTGTTCTCTTCATCTTGTTTCAGATACTTATTACTTACTCCTTAATAAATTCAGATAGATTAGACCATTGCTATATATCGTTAATTGCTTATTAAAAAATTTATGAAAATTACATATTTGAAAAGTTCATAATGAGACGAATCTAACAAGATCCATTTTGATAATATTTTTCTTTATAAATTAGTATTAAAATGCGGTCAAAGTTTAGTCAAATTATTAAATCAGATCAGACATAATAAAAAATTCAGATTAAATCTTATTAAAATCAGACTAGATCTACTTGTTTCAGGTCAAGAGAACAAGCTCTTCCTGGACTTAGTCTCATTTTGATGTGTGTTAGATATTGACTATTTCCATGATCCTTTCTGCAGAGAAGTAGCTCGCATGCTTGCTGATGATTATCAGAAACGTGTGATGATTGTTGACACTTCAAATGAGATTGGCGGGGATGGTGATATACCACATGCTGGAATTGGAAGTGCTCGACGTATGCAAGTACCAAACGCAGATATGCAACACATGGTACTAACACATATACAACTAATACAAGGGCATTCTTCCTTTTTATATTACAATAAAAGAATGCAGATTTCATGTTAGAATGTCAGATTATTATTATTTTATTTTTAACAAGGAGAAAGATGTATTTCATCGCTCAATGAAATTATCATACGTATATGTCCTTAGTGTTCCAGGCAGTTCACAAAGAGGTCATAGGCCTTATAGCCATTTGTGACATAGGAATCTAGGTTTCCTAGTATATGTGACCACTAGATTCTCAAATCTTTCCCTTATCAATCAATCAATCAATCAATCAAAGCCTTAATCCCATAAGTGCGGTTAGCTAACATGAACCAAATTTGACTATTCCGTGTAGTCATCAACATAAATTTTCCTCCTCCATCCCTTACGATCCAATGCTTCATTCTCATGTAAATCCATACACTTCATATCCATCCTAACTCCTTCCAACCAAGTCATTTTCGGTCTTCCTTATCCAATGCTTCATTCTCATGTAAATCCATACACTTCATATCCATCCTAACTCCTTCCAACCAAGTCATTTTCGGTCTTCCTTTCCCTCTCCCTCGTTTAACCCTTCCATGGTCCTAATCTTCCACACTTCGCACCGGTGCACCCTCGAGTCTCCGTCTTACATGCCTAAACCAACGCAAGCGATTTTCCCTTAGTTTATCTGCAATGCCTGCCACACCTACTTTCTTGCGAATAACCTCATTTCTGATTCTATCTCTTAGAGTGTTCCTACACATCCGCCTTAACATGCGCATTTCCGTGACCTCCATCTTTTTAATGTGCTCCTTCTTAGAGTGTACCATAGAGCAACACTGGTCTTATGACAATCTTGTAGAATTTTCCCTTGAATTGTAAGGGAATGCTTCGGTCACATAACACTCCTGTGGCCGCTCTCCATTTAAGCCACCCTGACTTAATCCTGTGGGCCATGTCTTGATCAATGTCACCATCCTTCTTTCTGGATAATCGACCCAAGATACTTAAAACATTCACTCATGGTCAAATCCTTTCCATCCAAACTCACTACTTCATTGCTTATCCCCCTCTGGATACCAAAACGACATACCAAATATTCAGTCTTACTCCGACTTAGCTTAAACCCTCTACATTCCAACCTCTGCCTCCATTGCTCCAACTTGGCATTAACCCCATCCTTAGTTTCATCCACCATAACAATATCATTTGCAAACAACATACACCATGGAACCTCATCTTGAATTGGTTTAGTTACTTCATCTAGAACCGTTTCAAAAAGAAAAGGGCTTAATGCAGACCCTTGATGCAATCCGATTGTAATAGGGAATTCTTTTGTCAACCCTCCACATGTCCTTACATTTGTTGACACATCCCGATACATATCCTTAACCAGGTCCACGTACCTTCGTGGGATATCTTTCTTCAACATTGCCACCAAAGTACCTCTCTTTGCACCTTGTCATATGCCTTCTCTAAATCAATAAATACCATATGAAGATCCTTCTTCTTTACCCTATAAAACTCCATCATTTGTCTTATCAATTGGATTGCTTCCATAGTAGATCTCTCAGGCATAAAGGTTATCCGAAATGCTTGTACATGCCCTCAACCTATGTTCAATCACCCTTTCCCACAACTTCATAGTGTGGCTCATAAACTTGATCCCTCGATAGTTAGAACAATCTTGAGTGCCTCCTTTGTTTTTATAGACCGAGACCAAGGTGCTCTTCCTCCAATCTTGCGGGATCCTTGTAGCCTTCCATATCTTGTTGAAGAGGTTTGTTAACCAATCAATAGCAATCTTACCCAAACACCTCCACACCTCTATCGGTACACCATCGGGACCAACCGCCTTCTCAGGCTTCATCTTCTTCGGTGCAATCTCCACCTTTACTCTCCTAATCTTCCGCACATACTCCATGTTGATTTTTTCATAACTCATGGAGGTATCTCCTGTCACAACTCCATTACTTCCATTAAACAATTCATCGAAGTACCCCTTCCACTTGATGTCCTCCTCTTGTATTAGGAACATTTGGTTCTTATCTTTGACACATTTCACCATGCCAATATCCTTCCTTGCCTCTTGTCTTCTCTTTGCCATCTTATAAGTGATCTTTTCTCCCACCTTAGAGTCAAGCTTTTCATAAACCTCCTGATAAGCCTTTTCTTTTGCTTGGCGAACAGCTGCCTTTGCCTTACTCTTAGCCTCCTTATACGCTTACTCCTACATTTTCCCATGATAGCAATCCCTTTTTTGCTTAATTATTGTTTCACCTCTTCATCCCACCACGAGGTATCTCTCTGTATCAAAGATCTTCCCCTTGATTCCCCTAAGACCGGCCACTCTCAGGAAATAGTTCTTCGTTTGTAACCAAAACATGTCTGGATCCACCTCTATATCCCAATCCGCCTCCTTAATTACCTTTTCTGTATAAAGTTTAGCCTTTGCATCCCTTAGAGTCCACCATCTTATCCTTGGCTCCTCTTGTCTTCCTTTTCTCTTCGCATTCTCTTTCAAACGAATAGTCATTACCAAAAGCCCGTGTTGGGTGACCACACTCTCTCCTTGGGATGACCTTGCAGTTTAAGCAACTTTGTCTATCCGTGCTCCTTGTGAGCAGGAAGTCTATTTGTGTTGCATTTGCTCCACTCCGAAAAGTTATTAAGTGTGAATCCCGCTCTTAAACCAAGTATTAGCCAAAATTAAATCTTATGATTGGGCAAAATCCATAATAGCTTCACCACCTGCGTCCCTCTGCCCATACCCAATGCCTCCATGGACACTCTCATAGCCATCTCGACTTGCCCCAACGTGCCCATTTAAATCACCTCCAATATATAACTTCTCTGAGTGGTGGACACCTTGTACCACCTCGTCTAAATCCTCCCAAAATTGTCGTTTCTCTTTTGCATCCAAACCAAATTGGGGAGCATAAGCACTAATAACATTCACAATCTCCTTGCCACATAGCAACTTTACTCTTATCAACCTATCATTCTTCTGATAGACCTCGATTACCTCTTTTGACAACCTCTCATTGAGAATCACACCAACTCCGTTCCTAGTCTTGAGGCTCGCTTCTTGTCTAACGTACCACACCTTATACCTCCCAAAACCAAGCCTCGAGCTCCTTCTCCTGTCCACCTTGTCTCTTGGAGGCACATGATGTTTACGCGTCTTCTCTTTATCACATCTACCCCTTCTGCTGATTTCCCCGTAAGAGACCCCACATTCCAAGAACCAATCTGCAAATTAGAGTCCTTTCTCCCACGCTCCCTCATCCCACGTGCACTTGTACCACGCTCCCTCCATTTCCCAACTGCAAGCCCTTGATCATTTGACACCACACTTGGGCAATGTGGCGCGTCGCTTCAGGGCGACGACCTAGCAACCCTTGCATACTTATCACCGCACCCGGGTCTGGGAAGTGCAGCGCGTCGCTCAGTAGGGAACACCCTAATGGCACGCCCTGCTCATTTGACACCACACTCGGGCAATGTTGCGCGTCGCTTAGCTGAGGAATAACAAAATTTGTACACTTTTGGAAGGAAATTATATGATTATGGTACATGATCTGGTTCCTAGCAAACTAGGTACTATAACTGCAATGAGAGCAGCGATTCTGAATTTAAGAACAAAAGCTCTGTTCTTCTTAGAGCTAGCTTTATGCTTTGTAATATTAGGTATTCTAGGGAAGTGCTTAAAGTGGAGAAGGAATGGCTTATTTGATAAGATTACATAAGGGATCCACCGATCCATAAAGTTTTTGACATGTTTTGAGAATCATTTGGATGCTTTGGTGAAAAAGCTCGAGAGCATCTTATAGGGTCATCTGTGATCTTCCCTCTCTGCTTTCTTCATCTCATGACCTAAATTTTTTCCTCCTAAATAACCCGAATAGATCAAAAAAGGATGCTTTGATAATATCAACTTAACAGACTTCGTAGAGGGTAAACTTTTTAAATGTCTCAAGGTTATGACAGGTAAGTCTCTGTGTACTATATTTTCCTTACCAGAGTGGAAGATGTGTGTAATATAATTTGGAAAGGGCTATGTTGGTGGCCTGGTAGGGTCTTTTAGAGACTTAAGGTGGGGTTGGAGTAGGCTTCCATTCCATTCACTGTGAGGAATTGATACTTTGTTGTTTGTCTTCTCAGTGCTATTGATATTTTATAGCATGTTTTCGTGATTTTTGGATTTTGATTCATATTCAACTGTGAAAATCAACCTCTGTTATTTTAGCATAGGAGGAATTAATTTAAATTGAGAATATATTTAGGGATTTTTCTGCATCAGTTTGTCAAACTTATTCGAGGGTGCTGGTGGGAGTTTTTTTTTTTTTTTTTTTTTTTTTTTTTTTTTTTTTTTTTTATAATTTTTTTTTTTAATTTTCTTTGTGAGGCTTTCTAGTTACCAATGACCGTGGGTACGATTTCACTTGATCTCTGGATTATGTTGTTGCAAGCTTACTTATTTAACATTGCTCTCTACCATCTCTTTTTCAAGACTCCAATGATTGTTGTACATAGGATTTTTCTGTGGTTGATGGTGAAAGAAAAGATTATTTTCTAAGTGAGATATGCTGTGTCTGGAAGGAGATCTGGGATATGGTAGAATGGTGTCTGGAGTGTTTCTCTAGTTAGGATGTTGGATATGGCGTCTCTTGAATCAGAGTTCCATTGGTATCATTTTCCAAAGAGTAATGAGGGCTGCACCAAAGTGGGTTGGGCTTCAAATGTGAAGCGATATGTAACAGACTGGCATAGAGGGTGGGGCACTATGGGCAGTGACTTACGTATCTGTTAAGGGTTATGTGGAGAATAAGTAGAGAATTTCATAAAGGAGAGAGAAGGCCTGTGATGGTAAAAAAAATTACATGATTAAATTGCAACACTTGTTTGTCTTTGGAAATAATTCTTGTATTCTCTGCCCAATTACATATCATATACATGATTGCCATTTACAGTTGTGTGCACTGACTGATCAAAATATTGGTCAATGGAATAATAGTTGCTGTATCTTATTCAGGTATTGATAGAAGCAGTAGAAAATCATATGCCTCAGGCGATTGTAATCGATGAGATTGGAACAAAACTCGAAGCGATGGCTGCCAGTACGATTGCTCAGCGTGGAATACAGCTAGTCGCTACAGCTCATGGAATCACCATTGAGAACTTGATCAAGAACCCTGCACTGGATATGCTTGTCGGAGGAATACAAGTACTGAATACATTCTCCTTATTTTGTTGTTCAAGATTATTATTACCTCCATTCCTGATATGACTAGTTGCATTAATGAGATTTTTCATCCATGATTGGATAGGTAGAATAATGGCGGTGCATTGAAATGTACATATATGATTGAATCTTCTAGAAAGAAAGTGTATATTTGGGTAAATCTGAAAAGGTCAATTTGGAAAGTTATTGCTGTTATTATCTTGAATTAAGAGGCAGTGACCATTTATAAGCATTGAATATGATTTGCACATCAGCTGGGTTTTGCCTTAAGTGACACATTTGAGGATACATAGTATGACTTCCACTGACTTTTTTTGTTCAATCTTGCCGTCCCTAAAGTATTTACATCGTGCTTAAAGTGAATGACTAGCTACCAAAATTTCCTTGAAATCAATATTGGCCTTAAATATAAGCAACAAGAACAATGGGAACCGAACCCGACCACAAATTCAAAGATGCTTCTGCATACTGATAGCTGTTTATATTCCTTTGAGGGGGGTGGGGAGGGGAAGGGGTGGAGAGGGTGCCAATTTTAAACAAGAAAATTAGAATAATTCTTACAGTAATTTCTTTTTATTTTCATTTTTAATCTTTTATGTGTCATCTTTGCCTCAATGTTTCAAGCTACATGAGTCTTATAAATACCATCACTTCCATTCGTATTATTGTGAACATTACATTAACAATTTTATTTTTCTACCAAAAGTTGCTATTCCAAAAAATAGAATAAATCCAAAGTACTGCAATCTCTTATCTAATACTCTGTACTATATAACTGTAACATTTATACTATTGTTCATTTGGCAGAGCGTAACTCTGGGTGATGAAGAGGCAAGTCGGAGGCGTGTTCAGAAAACGGTTCTGGAGAGAAAAGGACCTCCAACTTTCCATTGTGCTGTAGAGATAATTTCAAAAACAGAGTTGCGAGTGCACCGAAGCTTAGGAGCAACAGTTGATGCCATACTTGCAGGTATGTTTAACATCAAACACTAATTTATATCATCTACTGTTTGATGGTTTGTGACTAAATCATAATATGATTCTATTTATCATTTTTGGTAGACAATCTTTAGATTATGGGGTCCACAAGATGAATTTGAGAACGGCTGACCACTATATCCTCCATTGTACACCTTTATTAACTATTTATGCAGGCCGATGCCCAGACTTTGATGTACGGAAGGTGAATCTTCATGGAGTGCAAGGAACTGAAGAAAGTGAACCATTTGTGTCCCAAATCAATGGCAGAAATGTACAAGTTGAACCTGAAAATTTTCTGCCTGAAGCTGTAGAAAATGCTGAAAATAATAGTCTTCTGAGGTCTTCTTCACCTTCTGAAAAGATTTCTGATGATGTGAGACCCCTTCGTATATTTGTCTATGGGGTAAGATGTCATCTAAGATATTGGATTTTGCATAAAAAAATGAGTTCAACTCTTCCTGCTTATGACTCTTGAAAAAATTTAGGGTTTTGATTTTAATCACTAATCACTTAATCAGATATATACTTTGTTTGTCAACTGTGCTCTCCAAAATCATTTTCAAATTTCTTCTTTGAATAAATCTATAGACAATTACTCCATAATAAGAAGTAAGCCAACAACGATCTTGATGAATACCTCACCTCATTTGACATTAGCTTCCAAACACAATGTCCTGCAGAAAGAGGAAAATGTAGATGAAAATGTTACTAGGGTTTTATTGTTTACCTTTAATTGAATAATATTTAGTAGATGTGCAACTTTTCAGTTAAACTGATGAAAAAAATGTGGTAGTAATTAAATTTTCTTTGTATGGAAAATCCCAACACCACCCTTATTCAACAGATCTTGGAGGCAACTGTGATGCAAGGGGTCAAAAAGTTGAATTTGGATGATGAAGTTGAGTTGACTGATAATTTTAGCGAAGCAGATGTACTACTAGCTCTGCAATCCAAGCTTAAGAAGAATCTGGGGATCCAAGCTACTGCCAAATCTCATGGCAAACTTGTATATGCGACCAAGGTATTCTTTTCTATGTTTCAACTTCTATACCCTTTTTTCAGAATCAATTGTTGACCAGGGCTATAGATTTCTTGCAGACCAGCTCTTTGGTCCAAGTAACTAAGGCACTTCGCTCATTAGTGAACGACTATGACTATGAGTATGAGGACATATCAAAGGCTTTTGAACCAGAAGATGGTCTAAATACTTCAGAAAAGATCGATGCCCTTGAGGTAATGGATATAGTTTCTGTTCACTCCTTGGGAGTTGTGATCTAGCTGTGAAGATAAAGTGTTAATTTTCTGTTTAGCCCTTGCATGTTTCCAGTTGGGATAAATGATCGCTGCTCCAAAATGGATGTACATCCAGATTATATGTGTTCCTTTGTTTCTTAGCGGCAATAGTGCTTGAAGTGCAATAGTATTGATACATATAGGATTGTTGGATGGCATAAGTGATGGAAAAAAAGAGATAATAAGAGGGTCCATCAGACATGTTTGAGCAGCATGCAAATTTCTTCAAGTCATTAAGGATCATGGCACACACATGACACATCAACACCAGAGCAAGATCAATGTCATCAATCATAGCATCATCACATTGATGAAAGCTTATGAAGATTTTAGGACATTGTGAAATTGGGGACCCTATAAAAAGTTTATCTGATTTCAGCAAGTATCATGTATGGGGCAGAAAGTACTCAACAAGCATGCTTACCCTTTTTACATTCCACACCTGTATTCAAGGGCACCATTGGGCTTCCCCTTCATAACTACACAATTGGGGGTCAATAAGCTGAAAAGTAAATCATAAGAATGCTTAAATTCTTTTTAGTAAACCTTAAACGAGGTGGATAGAGCAAATTCTGACATTTATGTCCTAACATGGGTGTTAGTCCTGATGAGCAGCTTTTCCTTGGTACAAGGAGATATGATAGCCAATAGTGTTCCTCTATATAATTATAGAGTCATTCTTGCCATTACTTTGTATGTTCTTTTGCCTTCTTGGTGAGGTCCATGTGTATTATTATTGGGGCATTAGAGATGTATCTTTGGAGTTTAAGTTTGTTCCGATCTTGTTGAAATAAGTGTTTCAAGGTTGATGGCTCAATCATGAGCTGAACAACATAGCTAACTTGCCTTTTTCATTTTATTTTATTCAATTTTTTTTTTTTTTTTACTGTATTTTGAAGCCATCCTTTCAAGTTTCAACAGATGGTTTAAGAATTATCTGACTATCATGTGGTTTTGTTATGTACCTTCTAAATATATATAGTATAGATTTGATGTAAATGTGTACTTGTAGAAAATTGAAAAATAGTAGATCAATGACGGGATATTTCTGAGTGGCAAGCTATGATGATGGTATTACTAAACTTTTTAGCAATTGTGGGGAAATTATATGGTCCTTGATGGTCTATGTATTTTTCTTCTTTTTCTCTTATTTGACCACTTATCATAAAATCCTTTGTTCTATTCAAATTTTTAGCAGGAAAATAAAATTCGTCCTCAGATGTGCTCTAAGACTATAGGCTACACACTTACACTTATGGTCCTAATAAGAAGAAAGCAATATGTGGTCCAACTCATACAAGATGTGATAGAAATTTTTCTGTATCAGCTACACTTTGATTTAGATGTGGAACCTAGATATATCTTGGAAGATTTTTGGCTGTGTATTTTTTGGGTGGAGAGGAGTAAGGGAATTTTCTATCTGTCTTTGCAGGGTGAACTTGTAGTATTCATGAAGAAATATTAAGTTTATGCTTTCATTTTTACAGGAAGCAAGAATCGCTATTGAGCAAAATGTTATCCTCAAAGGGGAGCCTGTGGAGTTATTGCCCAGGCCTCCCCACATCTTGTCCCTTCAAGTGGACCTTGCACAAAAATATCAGCTGCAGTCAGAGATCGTAGGTCAGGGGGCAGAATCACGCCTCCGTATAATTCCTTTTTATGCAAATGCTTTTGGGAAACAGGACACAGAGGCAGCTGATGCTGACCATGCTGCAACCACCACTGATGAAGTCATGGACATCATTGACAATGCAAATGGCTCACCATACTCTCTTGATAGATTACCTATACTGCCAGACTATCCATTAAGCTGACGAGAAATGACATTCTTGAGTGCAACACAAGCTGATTTGAATCTTATTCGTGAGACTCCCAAGCTGTATAATTTGTAAAAAAAAAAAAAAAAAAAGAAGTCTCTCCTATCTGTATAATTTTTTTCTCTTGTTGTTCCCTTTATCATTCTGACTTCTCATATAATTGAGCAGTTACCAATGTTGACGGTCTGTTTCAGATGAATTTTCTTTTATTTGTGATTACAGTAGTATATATTGTCCTCACCATCTTAAGAAAGCTGCCAATGTCTTGTACGACAGGAGTACCTACGGAGATGCGAACTTCATGACGAAAAGGAGAGGAAAAAATATATTAAGCTAAAATTGGGTTTTTCTTACTATATTAAAACACATTGTTTGTGTCTCTTAAATCAGAATTTGATATGTTATTTCAATTTTTTAAAGCCTGTTTTGCTAGTCACAGACTTATAGTCCCTAACATATATCTTTGACTTCTACTAATGAAAGCATTATTGCATACAAATAAGGAATTTGTACTTGCCTGTTACAGCTACCTTTGAGACTGCAAGGTTTTATAATTGTTCATCATGGTATAATCTCATTTCACTGCCTTGCTGCTGTAAGCTTGTTTTTAACCTCACGAAATCTGATGTAGGAGACAAAAGCTTGTGATAAGATGGACACATAGAAGTAAATGATGATAATGTATCCTGGCATGAAGTTCAAGGTTAGCATTACATTTACCTTTGTTCTTATTAATTATCTTGAAACAATCAATTTTTTTCCTAGTGGATCTCTTATGATGGCGTATTGCATTGCATATTCCTATTGACAGATTGATGATTGGTCCAAGTTTTGGTATGCTGATGAGTTCAGGACTTGTACAGGTGACTCGTTCATCTTTGCCTAGATTTTTGGGTGATTAAATTTGGTTTATCTTTGTCAACTTGTCACATTCAAGATGAGACAGGACTTGGCTATTATTATTAAACAATGATGTGTCTTAGTGTACTGTGTTTAAGAGTCTTGGTAAATCCTTGTGATCTATCTTCACCCATCATGGATCTTCTCTTATTTCGATCTCAGGATGTCATATTGTGCCATTTATTTATACTTTTGAAATACAATGTATATGATAAATGAAGAAAAGGAAACTGTCAATTTATGGGATATGGATATTAGAGTTTGTTAGTATAATCCATACGTATTAATTATGCACATGTTCGTGAGATGACATGGTGTCGCGTCTCAAGGGTCTTACAATATGAATGTGACCTATATTGTCTTCAACATCATGATTGGAATTCAAGAGTTTTGGAGCATAAATTTTAGGTTACCGTTGAAATTCTTGAAAATATACCTTTTTGTACTGTATGTTCTTTTGCAAAGATATATGAAGACTACAATATGAATGTTAAGTTCTCTCATCTGAAATTAATAGTATTAATAAACATAATGACCTTAACAACAGATTATAACAGTTGATGTGGTAATGCAATGGTCTATAATGGGTGTCGTGTTGTAATAATAAAGAAATACATTACATAAAAGGTAGCCATGGAACAGCAAGTTGTAAAGCCATCACAAAACGGCACTGATTTCATTACTTAGTATAATCAGCTTAGAGTTTTCCTCTGGAGTTCTTTAATATTAAAAAAATACTCTTAAGATCAGTGTAACTTGAAAGAAATCAAACATAAAGGCCAGTTATGTGAGTAATGGACTGTGTAGTAAATGGCACTAACTTTCCAAATGGAATTTTTGTTTATTCCACCAAAAAATTCAAGTAGATAAAAGTAGTATTATCTTATAGGTATTACATTTGGATAAGTACCAATTTTATTGTTCAAGCCTACCCTTTCACCTGGTTGCCTACTTTGGCTTAGCTAACTGGTTGAATCTATATTTTTAATTCAGAAACTTCCACATCCGTACAGTCATTCATATTTTGTTTACTTACTACTTTTGCAATTTCTTGTTTATAGTAGCAAGTTCAAATGCTTGCCGCTTTTTGTGATTATTAAATAAAACTTTTAATTAAAGTCAACTCCTTTTTAATCACTTGAAAAACAACTATTATCAGTCAGTTCTGCGTTAGGTGATGAACTGCTGTAATCATTGTACTGTCAACTTCTGTATACTATCTGCTAGTGACCTGTCAATTACTTGATTGTTAAAATGCTGCTTAGCACAAATTTATACTTAATGAATCCTTAAAACCTTTGGATAAGATGAATTTTAATCATTGACTTCTGCAGCCCTTTTCTTTTGACTCACTCACCCTCCTTTCTCTTATCTTCAAACTTTCGGTTGATTGTCAACCATCCTATATAATCATTGCATCCATACATAACCTTTTAACTGAAAATTTTAATTTTTTACTAAAACTGCTATCTCATACATGTCATCTTTACACCAAGCTATCTCTTTTATTCAGTTGCCCATATACTATTCTCTGTCCACAATCTGCCGCCCACCCTCTTTGTTGATTCGACTCTTCTATTTATCTTAAGTATATGTATCAGACATTCGAGTATTCGACTTTCCAACAAAGTTATAAAAAAAGTAATGCTGACATTTCTATCATCATGATCCAAACTATTCTAGAGAAAAACTATAGAAATAGATGAAAAGCAAAGAGAGCCAAGTGACATATGCTTGAAAGTAGACTTGAGATAAAAAATATAACTAGATGCTAACAAGTCCATTACGTGCACTTGTAAAAGGTTTGAGAGCTAGGGATGCATTTCATTAATATCTTTCCTCCAACTCCCCTCACCCGCACCCAATTCTAAAACAGGGTTCCGGCGTGAAATATTGAACCTCAAGTCTGTATGTACTTAATATATCCTTACTCGACTTTGATACCCGTATCCGAGTATCATACCCAAAAGACTAAGGGGTATGGCTTGATGTTGGCCTTGTCTGAATTTTGTTTTATTTTATTTTCTTTTGGGTGGAGGGGAAAGTTGTGAATATGGAAGGAGAAAAATACAAAACAGAAATGAAGCATTAGGAGACAGACTGAAGGACACTATCTTCTTTTATACTATACGTACATGAAACCATTGAGACAGACTAATGTGGAGATTAGAATATCCCTTAATTGAGGCATTTGACAAGACTAGTATCTTTAATTCTTTATTCCTTTAATTTTCTGGGTCCATATGCTTTAGACTTCCACCTACCTTTTTCTAAGGCTTTCTTATGAATCTTACTATTCTTCTATTTCTTTTTAGTTTTTTTGTAGGGGAGAGTTGATACTTGATAGTTGAACCTATTTCTCTGGTATCTTTCTTTGTAATTCTCTTACTTCCCATGGCATGATGAAGCACAATGTATTTGCTTTAGCCTAGGCTCAGTGAAATAGCATGATTTGGCACAGCCCTGCTTTCTGAACTCGGCGACACAAAGCCACCATGCTTTTAGGGGCTGTGCTTGACCAACCCATTGGGGCAAGAGGTACATTGTCATGCCTGATGGCTTCATTCATTTTCGGTTATTTTTATTCTGAAGGAAGAAAATGGGTAGATGGTGAATCGGTGATAATGTTTGTAGCTCCCACTAATAGAAGGAAAGGTAGCATGAACGGACATGAAACCTTTGCCTTTCATTTAAAGCCACCGCCTCTATTTTAAATTGCTGCACATGTCATTTGGAAAATGCGCTTATTGCTTTTCCTGTGTACATCCTGCCTGTTAGTAGAATAAGCCAAAAATTAACCATTCAAGTATATATTTTGTCTGTTGATAGGATAAACAAAAAATTGACTAACCCACAAATCTACTTTAAGATGGCAATTTCCGTTTAATCTAAATGGTTTATTAGGCCATTAAAGTGTCTGCTGTGTGTATATAGTTTGAATAACTAGATTGAAGTAATGGTGGCTTGGATAGATTATCAGAAAGATAATAACCAAAGAGAATCCTCTTCTGAAGTCATCCACTAACTGAATTAACGCCGATTAAGAATGATGAATATAAAAAGTGTTGCTATTGTTAGCAACGAGGTTCTCTTTTTATTTTATTTTATTTTTGGTTGAGTGCTGAGGCTTTTCATCAAGTGCATAAGTTCTTTCATTAGTTTTTTAAGCTGATATTGGAAACTAACTGGTCTAAGTATTATCTATTATTTGGTGGATCTGAAGTGTGATCAAGGAAGTTGGGCATACATATGATAAAAGGGCATGTAAGGTTAGGAGATAATTGAATCCAGGTAGAAAAACTTATAGGTTAAAACTTAAAAGCGGTTTGGGTACGATATGAGACCATTCTTTAACGCTCTTAACTTCATCTGAAAATCCTTGACATCAGATACTCCCTCCATCCCTAAGAAAGTAATGGAGATTAATGAATTACAAGTGTAAAAGTAGAAAGAAAAAAGTGGTGCAGTGGGTTTGTGCGTATCAAATTTTAGTGAAGAGTTCGCAAAGAAAATCTAATGCCTAATGGTATACAAGGGATGGAGAACATAGGGATTAATACATCATGGTCTTTGCTCTAGTTTAAATTTGGAGGAGGCACATAGGCTGATAGACAGAAATGCATTTTTAAAAAGCCTTAGCTACAACCTTCCCCGTAGTTTTTTTTGACTAACTAAACTTATTGACATCCGCACTTTTTCGATTATATGAGTTTTATTTCCAATCAGCAATTATTTAAGTTTCTTTTGAGGTGGAGCTTACCTATACCACTAAAAATTAAACATTTTCTAATCTGTAAACTTTGCTTAATCCACTTAATTTAGTGCTTTAATTTGTAGTTGACCAACGCCCTGATATAGTATTTTTGTGGTCATTTGCTGTCATGAATCTTCTACTGAATCCTTTTTTTAGAAGATTGTTAATGGGATCTTTGATTGAACCTGCATATACTTTCTAAGTCCATTTTGGCATTATAGATCTTCTACGTAACGTAATAAAACTCTTTTCATTCCTCTGTTTTTACTTCAGCAAAGGCAACCTGTTCAAAGCTTCGGCCATAGCAATTGGCATTTCTAGTCAGAAAGTATATACGTATTAAATTAACAAATCCCTTAAAATTCTGTTTAACTGAAATTCTGTTCTTGCATTTTTTTGGGCGAGTCTCTTAATCACCGTCTTCCATCTTTTCTGATTGTTGTGCATATTGGACTTCTATTACACTCTACTAGTATTATCCTGTGGACGTACTTTCTTTGTGTTTATACATTGTTGAACATTATTTAGGGTGTTAGATAATAAGATCAAGCCTGATATGAAA